TTAAATATTATTTTAGTTTTAGATAGACAAAATATCTTTATTTTATTCATTTATTTTTTTTAAAATTAGTTTTAATTAGTTATGCATGACAGTAGAATGTACTATGATACATTATACATAAATGGAGTGTAATTTCTCATTTTATTAGCTATACATGATATAGAATTGCACTGGTCGTGTAGCCATATATGTATGTAGGGTAATCATGTCTGATTCATTCTACTATCCTTCCTACTCCTATATGTCTAATTCATCCTACTATCTTTCCTACCTTCAAACGCCCCTCCCTTCACTCTCCTCTACCCAATATAAAGTATCCCTTTTCTTCCCTAGCTCCCCCACTATTATTGTGAGTTAGCATCTGCACATCAGAGAGAAAATTTGGTGCTTGATTTTTGGAATTGGCTTCTTTTGCTTAGCATGGTATTCTCCAGCTCCATCCATTTACCAGCAAATGCCATAATTTCATTCTTTTTTAAGGCTGAGTAATATTCATATGTATATAGACCACATTTTCTTTATCCATTCATCTCTTGAAGGATACCTAGGTTGGTTCCATATTTTAGCTATTGTGAATTGAGCTGCTATAAACATTCATTTGGCTGCATCACTGTAATATGCTGATTTTAAGTCCTTGGGGTGTAAATCAAGGAGTAGGATGGCTTCTGAGGAATTTCCATCCAACTTTCCACAATGGTTGCACCAGTTTGTAATCCCACCAGCAATATATGAATATATGAGTATACCTTTTTCCCTACAACCAACATTTATTGTTACTTGTTATTCTTGATATCTGCCATTCTGACTGGGGTGAAATGAAATCTTAGAGTAGTTTTGATTTGCATTTTTCTAATTGCTAGAGATATTGAACATTTTTTCATATATTTGTTGATTGATTATATTTCTTCTTCTGTGAAGTATCTGTTTAGTTCCTTAGTCCATTTATTAATTGGGTTATTTGATTTTTTTTTGGTGTTAAGTTTTTTGAGTTCTTTATATATCTTGGAGATTAATGCTCTAATCTGAGGTACATGTGGTAAATACTTTCTCATATTCTGTAGGCTTTTCTTCACATCATTTATTTTTCATTTGCTGAGAAGAAGTTTTTTAGTTTGAATCCATCCATTTATTAATTCTTGATTTTACCTATTGCACTTTAGGGGTCTTGTTAAGGAAGTAAGATCCTAAGCAAACATGGTGAAGATTTGGGCCTACTTTTTCTTCTACTAGTTGCAGGATCTCGGTTCTAGTGCCTAAGTCTATCTATTTACTTTTTTGTAGTGCTGAGACTCAAAGCTAGTGCTTCATATGTGCTAGGCAAGTACTGTACCACTGAGCCACAACTGTAGCCTCAGTCCTTAGCAGTTTTAATGAATGTTTTATTCTTGATCTTTCAGGTACTTAGGTAAACTTTATAAACACACAGTCTTAGCATTTTTAGACCCATTACTGTATCTTCATCTTTAAGAATTTGCATTAATCAGTTTTGCACTGTTAAGATTTTCAGAATTTTACTGACATCAGCGTGATTGCTTTAAAAAATTAAATTTAAAATTAGATATGTTCGTAAATTAAGAAAAGGAAATTAAAATCTCCACTATTTTATTCAGTAGTTTTCTAATTATAGAGCTACATTCGAATTTTATATCAGACATGAGAGCAGAGGCTGATTTGAAATTTCATTCTGTATGAACTTTATCTTATTATTTACCTTTCATCCAACACTGTACTTTGATGTCTTGAGTGTGAGTGTGTAAGTGTGTGAACTTGCCAGTATCCTTTTCTATGTTTTCTTATTTGTCTCTTTAACTTTACAGCCAGTGCATTTTATTTATCCACATAAGTTTATTAATACAAGCAGTATGTGCCATGCACTATTCTGAACCATGGGGATACTATCCTGAACAAAATATGTGAATAAATTTATCACCTGATGAATCCACATTCTAGAGGGGGTTAGAGACAACAAACAGACAAATAAGTAAAATATATATGATGGTAGAGTTAAATGAGATGTATATCATGATGGTAATAAATGATAATTAGGAAAAGGAGATGGGAAATTAAGTGGGGATGGGAAAGCAGGTATTGAATACCTTGTAGAGTGGCCAGAGTAAACCTCACTGAAAAGGTTACATTTGATTTAAAGACTGGAAAACAGTAAGGGATCTATTACCCACATGGCTGTCAGAGGAATTAATTCAAGCAGCAGAGGAGAGAGCCCGAGGAAGGTGTAAATGTGGCAGTTGCAAAACAAAAAGGAAGTGAAAGTGACTGGAGGGAGGTTTATAAAGAGGGGAAATAGAAGAGGTAAGAAAGACAATAGGGAGGAATTATATAGGATCTGATAGGACACGGTAAATAAAGAATTGGCTTTTAATTTTATTCATTTTTGTTTTGCTAAGACTTGGGCTTTTATTCTGAGGGAAATGAAAATGTTGAGCAAAGCCCTGACTGCTGTTGAGTTGCCTAAGGGTGGAAGGGGAGAAATGGTATAATTGGGTTTAAATATTGGTGTGGTGGTTATTATTGTTTCATTGCATATTATACTTCTATGACCTGATGCATATCTTTGTTTCTAAATTTCATATAAGAATGCCTCCCAGGGTAATCCAGTTATTCACTGATAAGAATTTTTTTTTTGAGAAAATGTAATTTATATTTGAATATGACTTGAAAGTTTTTTCCCCCCTATATATCCATATTTAGAATAGCTTTGTCATCTCTGAGAAGATCCAGAGATCATCTGTTTTACCAGTGAGTAATTTGAGACACGGAGAGCTCTTGCTCAGTGTAAAATGTACGAATATCTTCCATGTGAAATATTCTTAAGCATCAGAGCTGATATATCAAGGCTGGCCTGGCTACTTTGTACAAAAGTTCTTTAGGCAATTTATTAACAACTACTCTGAATTGACTATAACACAAACTGCCTTGAGTTTAAATATATATAGTTAAATAGTAAACTTTTCCCCCCATCTCCTTAATGTGTTTTTGTTCTTCAACTGATAAAACAGATATGTATGTACGTTTAAGGTTTATATAAATTAAATTCTGATGAGTTAAATCTTTATACCATGGAAAAAGAGCTTTGAGTTTTTAACCTTTAAGTGAAAAAACAGTTGCAGTACTGCAAATAGTATCGAATTTAGATATTTTTCAATGTTCTTATCTCTGTCTTGTTTTTTTCCTTTTCTTTTGACAGCACTTTATCATTGAGCTATATCCCCAGCCAGCCTAAAAGTTCTCATTTTTTTTTATCCTTTTTACCTGACACAACATAATTATACAGTATGATAACTAAATGTATGTGTACCACATGTAATGGCTAAATCAGGGTAATTGCATTTCTATCTACTTAAACATTTGTGTTTTTTGGGGGAGGCGAGCCTTCAAACTCTTCTTATTCTTTATAAAACATATTAATATTTGTAAACTATAGTCACCTTAACATGCTATAGAGCATTATAATTTATTCTCTTTATATATTTTGATACTTGTTATCCAGCTTCTTTCTCTTCCCCTTCCCCATCCCCTTCCTAGCTTCTAGTGATCACTATATTGCTCTCTAATTCTATAAAATAGGAAGTTTTTATTTCTTAAAGTTTTCTTTAAATTGTACACACCCATGTCTGTATCTGCATTTATTTGCTACATATGTTCGCATGGACTTTTTGTGAATAGTCAGAAGATTTTATTACATTGTATCATAATGCTTCTTGAATTAAAAAATATGGCCAATATGACATTTTTAGTTGCTATATTTACTGCTATGAGTTCATCCATGTAATGGCCTACCCACAGGTCAAAATTGTCTTAATAAGCTTTGGGAAAATGCTACTTACCCGGTGATCTGAAATAAAAATATGCTACAATTTGAGCATGTTGGTATGTGAAGTTTTGTCACTGGTACATTATATTTCTTCGTTAAGAGTGTATGAGTCAAGTAGGTGGTGCATACCTATAATCGTAGCAACTCAGAGAAGCTAAAGTGGGAGGTTCTCAAGTTCAGAATCAGCCTCAGCAACTTAGCAAGACCTAGTTCCTTTTTTTAGAGAGAGAGAGAGAGAGAGAGAGAGAGAGAGAGAGAGAGAGAGAGAATGAATTTTTTAAATATTTATTTTTTAGTTATTGGCAGACACAACATCTTTGTTTGTATGTGGTGCTGGCACACATGCCAGACGAGCGCACTACCGCTTGAGCCACATCCCCAGCCCAAGACCTAGTTTCAAAACAAAAAATAAAAAGGGTTAGGGATGTAACTCAGTGGTAGAGCATCCCTGAGTTCAATCCCAGTACAAAAAAGAAAAAAAAAGTGCATAAATGAGTGTTTTTGGTAATAAATAACATAGCATAGAAACGCCAACTGATTACTATGTTGATAATAAATGATCAGGATTCAAATATTTATGATTGCATTAGTTACATGTCTTGAAACTTTTGATATGATTTTTAATAATCCAAAATTTTATCAAATGGAATTATCTGTAGATATATGTTAACATATTTTTTATTCCTTAACTTGAAAGTATTGTAAGCTTTGTTTCCTTTGGTTATCATTTTGACAAAATGCATTTCAGGTCTGTTAGTTCTTTTTTTTTAACTCTTAATATATATATTTTAGTTGTTGATGGACCTTTATTTTATTCATTTATATTTATGCATTGCTGAGACTCAAACTCAGTGCCTCATACTTGCTAGGCAAGTGCTCTACTATTGAGCCACAACACCAGCCCTTTCTTTTTACTCTTAATAAACTTGAATTGGGTTTACTCAGTATTGAAATTAATGTTTTCTGTCAAAAGGTTGATATTGGAGCTTTAGTTATCCATTTAAAATTTTTACCATCTTAACTAGCTTAAGTAGATAATCCAGTAGTGTTAAGTGTATGCATGTTGTTGTGTTAAATGTTATTGTTAAATGGAACTGAATTTCTCATGAATGTAGTCTTTCTGAAACAATGTCTTCATATTTGTTTTACCTTATTGTTCTCTCTCCAGAATCTGTATCGATTTGAGGGCACTGGGTTTACAAACATCCCTCAACTAATAGATCATCACTACACAACAAAACAAGTCATCACTAAGAAATCAGGTGTTGTTCTGCTGAATCCTATTCCTAAGGTAAGTGTGCTTAAACACATAATGTTTGTTTTAAAAGATTGCTTGGTGAGTTAACATTTTCCCTGGTAAATAAAGTTCTTAGACTATGTGTCTGAAACTCAGAAACAAAAAAAGTTTTGTGCATACCACTACCAGTATACCAATACAGTTGAAGTATAGGATTTCCTTAAATTTTTTTTGGGGGGTGGGGGGTGATGGGTATCAGGGACTGGACTCTGGAGCACTCAACCCACATCTCCTGCCTTATTTTGAGTTGCTTAGTGCCTTGCTTTTGCTTTTGGGTGAGACTGGCTTTGAACTCAGGATCCTCCTGTCTCAGCCTTCTGTGCCACTGGGATTACAGGCATGCACCATTGTTCTCGGCTGAATTTCCTTAATTTTATAAGATGTTTGCCTAGTATTTGCTAGGATATAATATCTGAATTTCTGTCCCTTTGTTTTGCAGTTTTTCTTGAAAGACTTGAGGCTTTTTTTAAAGTTTTATACTTTGAAAGCTTCAGGTTATAAAAGAGTAAGCAATGTAGACTTGAGTGATATTCAGCAGTTAGGAGTAAATTAGAATTTTACCTTTAGATGTGAGGTTTCCAAGATACTGGAACTTTTAAAAGCTATGCTACAAATTCAGCAAATCATAATTTCCCTGTGTAGAGCCAGATAGGTAGGTGAGAGATTGCTTTAGGTCACTTTTATCTCTAAGATCTATCAAAGAACTCCTTACTTTCATGTGATATACATGAGATTGGTTAGGTAAGAAATGGGTGTGAGCAAGGTTTGTATTTTTAAAACAAAACTTGTGGGGACCAGAACAAGTGCACTGTGAGCTGACTTAGCCTCTAAGCACCTTCAGTGTTCAGAAATTAGGTTGGGACTGTAACTTTTTTTCTTTTGGCAACTGTCTGATATGAAGAACAGCATAGAAATAGGAAAGTCACAAAACTTGATGGATAATATTTATTGATTTTTATAGATTAAAGGATGGCTTTAATTTTAAAATACATTCCAGTCCTAAGAATGCTGTTACATAACCCAGATTTAGGGACTTGAAAAAATAATTGTTACATTTTCTGTTTTTAATCTAGAAAACAATGTCCATATGTAAACTTTATTATATTGCTAAGTCTTCACTGAGGGGCTGAGCTTTAGTAGTTCTTTCATAGAAGATTTTGATAGTTGGTTGCTAAACATACTAATTCTATAGTTTAAGGACTTGACATTCTTATTTTTTAATATTTATTTATTTATTTTTTTTAAGCTGTAGTTGGACACAATATCTTTATTTATTTATTTTTATGTGGTGCTGAGTATTAAACCCAGGGCCTCACACATGCTAGGTGAGCACTCTACTGCTGAGCCACAATCCCAGCCTAGGACTTGACCTTCTTATATAATTTTTTTTTTAAATTGTAAAGTTGTTTCATTCTTTGTTAATATTTTCCATTTAATTATAGAAAACCCCATAAAAATTCTCTAATCTGGAACAGGTTGTGACATTTTTTTCTAGAAAATGAAACTAGTTTGCTAGCATTTCTTTTGTTTATGAATAAATACTGTTTTTCACAGAATTCCCATATCTTTTTATGTCAGAGTAATCTATTCTCATAGTTTCATTTATTATTTATAAATTAATAACTAGTAAATTTATATTTCTAATGCAGCATTAGCTTTCCCCAAACTCAAGAATTTCCCTAACTTTTACCTCAAACTCAGTATAACATATTTAACTCTAAAAGTTGTTCTTCTTCATTTAGTAAGTGGTACCACAAAATATCCCAGTTCTCAAAAATCATAAACTGATGGGTCATCTTTGACATCTTCACCACTGCTTCCCTCCCTAAGTGGTGGGAGTTTTATAGTGTTAATTGTACATTTGGAGTATGACCTCAATTTCATTAAATTCTAGTGTAAATCAAATTCGGTGCAAGAAGATACTTTTTACCCATGTAAGGTTAACAACATGAAGAACTGGGTTTTCAGAGATATGGATATCCTATTTCACAAGCCAACCAAATATTTTCACTGTCTAAAGGTTTAGAAAAATCTCAAGTTGAGGGACCAGAGCTATAATAGAGAGAAACAACAATGCAGATCTGGGCATGGGTATGAATACATAATTTCAAGTGAAACAGTACCCCTTACTATATAAAATTTTCTGTGAAATTAACGCAGATAATGGATTAGATTTTCTGGACTATTACATGGTCAATTATTATCTTTTTCTCCAACCTCCAACACTGTGAAGTTGATTATCTCATCATTTTATAACACTAGCTATGAAAATAAATGTATGCTGGAAGCTATAGAAGATTAAAGAGCTATATACGATTGTTTTACGAGGTAGAAACTTAAAGTTTCTACCTGACTATTAAGTTGATTTAAAGTACTGGCATTTGAAATATGGAAATTATTATCTCAGTTCATTATAAATATTGTTAAACATTTGATTTATAAAGAATCATATTACTCTTTTAAAAAGTAATCACAATGCAGAGGTTGTGAAAGTTAGATAATTTTCAATTATGACTGAAGAACAAATTGATATGGATTTTGTTATGGTAGTATTATCTGTCATATATCTTCCTTTGAAAAAGTTATCTGTACTCTTAAAACCAAATCCCTTTCTTGATTTAATTTGTGTAAGAAGTTAATATCTATGGCCATATAATATGCTATAAATATCTAATTTTCACCTTGTTAGACTTCATTTTTAGCCCACATAAAGAATGTTATTTTGCTTTGAATATAATTTCCTATTTCTCTTCCCATTTATTTTTTCTCTTACCCATGAAAATTCAATTTTATTATTCTAATACTGACAGTGACCAAAGTAGTCTCTCTCATATTTATGTCCTTATGAGTATTCACTCAGAGGTACACGAAATAGAGCAATCAGAGGTGAAGAATTTACCTAACTTTAACGCAGTAATAATGCTAGTGAGTGCCCACACTATCCATTCCTCATCTTCCATGAACTGATTTTTCCTACACTGCCTCCTAGAGCCTGTGTGAAGATATAGAAGATGGAAAATATTGTAAGCAGGGCATATTGAAAACCCTTTATAATTATCCTGGGATTAGCAAACATAAAGGATATGCATATGGTCTGTTCTTAGTTCAGGTTCTGCTGAAATATCATTTATCAGACAGGTCTTTGCAGAATGCCACATATAAAATAGCATATTCTCTTCTTTCCCCTTTTTAAAATTTCTATGTGTCATGGTTATGTTTATCTACTATTTAATGATGTCTCTTTTTTAATGATATCTTTTTAATTGTTTACCTCCCATAAGTGAAATGTAAGCTCCATAAAGTCAGAATTATATTTAACAATTACTGCAGCCAAATCCCCAACCAGAGAGTGCTGTACCAGAGTAGGTATTCAATAAATATTTGTTGAAAAATTGAATGCATTGAGCAGTTGCTGAACTTTTGAATTCCTCTCTGTCAAAAGTCCCCCTCTCCCTACATCAACAGTGCTGGCCTTTAAACCCTGGTTCTCTACCATGCTAGGCAGGTGCTGTCTCACTGAGATATACCCCCAGATGCCCACTGGATTTTTAATAAGTCTCTATACAAGGAAAATCATTAAACTCTAGTATTGTGTGGACAGAGTTGAGATATGAGTTAAACTTAAGGTTTGGCAAATATGTGTGAAAGAAGGACATCTAGTTTAAGTTTAACATGTAAATTGCACTATAACAGCTTTGTTAAATTCAAAAGTTTTCAGATTTAGCTTTTTTAAGAAAAAAAATCTATCTGATTGGAAATTAAATTTTTAAAAGTTCATGATTAAATGAAGATCAGTTAGGCAGAGAGCCATTAATTTACTCCTTAGAAGCTTGAATCAAGTAGTTGTGACTTTTTACCAGAATTTGGTGTTGATTGTGAGAATATTAGAGGCATATTTTTGAGAGGAAGTAATCTGTATGTTTGTGAACATATTATCTTGTTATCAGGAGACAGGTTTGTGGTAACAGAATTTATAATCATACATGTGCAAAAACAGTTATGATTAAGTTCTTATGGTTAGGAGAGGAGAATTGATCTTAAATTAAGTTCTTTATTCATATTTTTAGTTTCAGATGACTTAAAGACTACTTATTTTACTTTATATTTAAGTAACATAGCTTGCCTCTTCCAATATTACTGTTTAATGAGTTTTATAGAAACTTATGATAGCAGTTTTTTATATGCTGAAGTCTTTTTAATATAAAGCATTATGAAATCAGAGACTTCCTTTTTCTTAAGTCACTATCCATTTCCTTAATACATTGAGATTGATTAGGTAAATTTTAAAATAATTTAAAAGTTCAGTAAAGAAAGAAGAATGGAAAACTTACACGAGCCAGTGTTTTCCCATGAAGAAGATATTTACCTAGGTACCTACTAGTACCTAGTACTCAGTCTGTGCTGAGCAGTGTTCGGTATTATGACAGAATGCAAATGTGCTATGAAAATAAACTTGGATAAAGATATAAAGATATAATGAGGGCCCAGGTTAGGTATTGTGTGTGTGTGTGTGTGTGTGTGTGTGTGTATGGGATAGTTACTGTTTTTAAACATTATGATCAAAGAAGGCCAATATGCAGGGATAATAATGAAATGTTTTAACAGTGTAGTATGAATAAGAAGCTATAGATGAGATATCAGCTGTAAACAACTGGTAGAGCCATCCATGTGTTCAATGGTGGAACATCTCTATGTCTACCTGGGGAAAGAGTTCCTTGGTGTTATGAGGAACTGCAGAGGCTACTGTGCCAGAAACAGTGATTGAAGGAAGAGTGATGGGAGATAAGTACAGCTTTGGATTAATTTAATAACTAAATATATGCTGTCTTAAGAAGTTAGTTGTTTATTATGGAGTCTAAGAAATTTACTTCATTTGAATAGAAACTTAGAATAAAATTTTATAAGTTTACATAGTGAGTCTCATAAAAACATTAAACAGTAATATTGGAAGAGGCAAGCTATGTTACTTAAATAGTGTGTAAATATTGAAATTT